ATGTACTATACAGTGTGTGTATATATATATACAATATATATGTATGTGTATATTATATATTATATATATATATATATATATATATATGTATATATATATATATATATTATATATATATATATATATATATATATATATATGTATATATATATATATATATATATATATATATATATATATATATTATATATATATATATATATATATAATATATATATATATATATATATATATATATGTATATATATATTATATATATATATATATATATATATATATATATGTATATATATGTATATATGTATGTATATGTATATATAGGGAATATCATGTTTTAACATGATTAAATTTGTATTGCAGAATGTAATGCCTGAGCAGATCATTATGGTCTGTTTGATAATATAGGTAATATGTGAATGTAATACTATTGAAGAAAGAAACATTTCATCATTATTATTTTCATAATAGTAATAATTATTCTGATTATTATTATTATTATTATTATTATTATTATTATTATTATTGTCATTATTATAATTATTATCATTACTATCGTTATTATTTGTATTAATATCATTATTATCCCCATCGTTAATATCAAATCGTCATTATTATTGCTTTTATTATTACAAAATTACTGTTATTATGATTTTATCATTATTATTATTCTCGTTACTATTATTGTTATTATCATTAAAATTATCATCCTTATCTTAATGATTATCATTTTATCATTACTATTATTCTTATCATTCTTCTTTCTATTATTGTCATTATTATGATCATTATTGGTATTGCCATTATCATTATTGTTATCATTATTATCATTATTATTATCATTATTATCATATTATTATTCATTACTATTATTATTATTATTATTATTATTACCATTATTATTATCATTATTACTGTTCTTACTACTATTACCATTATTATTATCACTGTAATCATCATTATTAGTGTCCCCATTATTATTATATTATCATCTTCATCCTCCTCATTATAATCATTATTATTATTAGAATCATCGTTGATATTCCTTCTGAAAATCGAAACATTTTTTATATGGTTAGCATATTAAATTAAATTGATTATCCCTAAAAATATTCTTAGGCGTACTAAAGATTCTGAAAGAAAAAAAAAGTGGGAACAAACAGCTAACTGCCACGAAAATAAATAAATGAATAAATAAATAAATATCTTTATCATCAGGGAAAACAAACTTTTGTCGGTAGTATGAAGCAATAAAGCGCACGCAACACCGACGGCGATGTTACGAAATGCACCGTTCCCCGTCGAAGGACCGTCGAGGAAGTCGCCAGCTGCCATGCCAACTACTGTGTTTCGCGAGAGAGAAGTGAACGAGTAAATAAATCACGAAATAAGAAGTTCATTTGGCCTCTGGCACCTTCTCTGCTGCCAGCCGGGGCGGCGTGCAAGCTCTTCGCCATATTGTTTGCTCATTTTGTGATAATTAGGACTATCACAGACCCTCTCATCAATAGTATTACCATAACGGAAAATGTCTGAGGCACACGTTCATGGCGCGGCCGTTACACAGGAGCGCAAGAGAAGCTATTGTGGGGAGAAAAAAAATGTTTAGTGAAAACACAACTGGGGCCTTACGTGCATTGAGTTTCAGGGTGTGTTGAAATATCTCAAGTATGTTCTGGCAGGGCTTTGAAACGACTCGTGTGGCTAAACACAATGGACTGTTTACATGCCATTTGCACATTTTCTTGTAAATGCCCTCTTGTAAAGTATGTGAGCGCCTACGAGTCTCAGCAGCGTGTGAGAAACGTAGTTTTTCATTTGAATATGGAAGTCATATCAACAAATAGTAAGTAGGTCTTCCTTGTCCAGTATTTATATTCTTCCTAGTAAAGTCTATTTGTACTTGCAACGGTAAACTTAGAAGAAATAAAACCATCAACTCATATACTCATCCTTTCACCCCGTGTTAATGGTGATATTTAAATGTTACTGTCTTTTATATCATGTTAAATTGAAATACTCTAAAAGGCCAATAATAGACTAGGTTCTTGGCGGGTTTCTGTGACGTCAGGAGGCGGTGGCCTGGCCCGCCCGCCCTCCCCAGCTCAAGTATCAGACGCACCAATTTGTACACAATCGAAATTACGTCGTTTTGAAATCCCGAGCCGCCGCACGACACAGATCTATCAGTCCTCTTCGCCGAGGAGGTTTAGTACATAAGCTTAGAGTATAACGAGAGTGCATCACAGTAATGTCCACGGTAGACTTAGCATGTCGTAGCCACGGAAGGAGTTCGGACACCAAATGCTGCGGTCGAGGTTCAGCCGCTGATGCAACGAGCCGATTGGCCCAGTCCAGCGCCTGAACCAGCAATTAGCGTTTTATCACCCGATTTGATCGCGATTTGGGCCTCCGAACACACCCCTGACTTGTCCCTCACCAGCGGAATTCATGAGTTATGATGAATATACTATGACTACCCGACCCTCCCAGTTCGGATAGT